TATATATATATATATATACTTATAGTAAGCGATTGATAAATTAGGAAATCATGCATTTCTCTGTGTATCTGTCAACTTACACAAATGCATATCGAGCACATTATATGCAAATAAGATTATTCGAGTGCAAATGTGACATAATTTTCTAGATTATATCACTAAATATCTTACGAAATAATAACAGCAAATTTGCAACAGTCATTGATATATTTAAAATTCATAAAGTAAGTCTCGTTTCAATAACATCAAAACTTTTAAAAGTAATTATGCTTTAAGCATAACTGTTGGTTTGAACAGTAAACTATTTACGATATTCAAAGAATCCTAGCACAATCGACAAGAATTCTCTGTAAAAATACAAGGAGAGAACAAGAATTTTTTGAATTAGTTTCTTCACATTCAGAAACCGTCTAGTTGTAATCACTGCCACGGTTCACTGAATAATTTGTTGTTTATACTACTTGATAATAAGTTGCATTCACTGCTGCAACAATAAAATTGCAATACATTTTGAAAGTAAGCTTTATCATTTTCAATTCCTTTGCACGCGCACAATGTTCTCAATATCAATACGTCTATAACTCATTATCAAGCAGCATACAAGAACAGAGCAGTAATTCGTGCGCAAGCATCTGGTAAACAGACAGTCCCACAAAGTGGCGATGATCAACTGGCGCGTTGAAAAGAACCATTCGTAAAATCGTGACGATACCACAGCATTTTATCCACAGCATCTATATATGATGCATTTAGACCACCGCCGGCAGGCATGTGGTATATTTTTGGAGCATCGACGTTTACCGAGCCCGACCAGAGATCAATTTCTCGGTACATCGGTAAGCAAGTGTTAAGGAATCGTCGTTCAAGGAGAAGCGTGTGTGTCACCCGTGTGTGTTTTCAGCAGCGGGGAAGAAGAGAAGGGAAATTGGAATGCGGGCGAAACGCAAACGTAGGCGTGGAAGCGTTTCCTGATCGCGTCTCGACAAACTCGACGAGCTGATCGCTGTCGCGGTCGGGCCGCCGATGACAGCGGGGCGAGCGGAGCGGAGCAGAACGGAGCGGAGCGCGATGCTCGCAGCGAGAATCGACGAAACGTGGTTCGCACACAATGGTGGTGATGAGCTTACTGCTTGTAGCTCGCCTTCGCGAGTCGCGTCGCACGTCCTCGGCGATCGCACGTAGCCGACGGCGTTCGCGATCTCAGGACGGCGTGTACGAGGTGTTCCGGAGATTCCGAGACGACGGAGCGGACGAGCCAGCACGAGCTGGGCGGCGCGGTGCGGCGTTGCATCGCGACTCGCGTCCGTCGAATGAATCTCGTCTCGTCTCGTCGCGCCGCGCCGCGCCGCGCCGCACCGCGCGATCCGGAGTCTCGCCGATTCCAAGATCTCGGCGATTCGCGCGAGCCCGCGACCAACCTCTCTCGCTACCGAAATTACGCGCAATAGTGGCGGCCGTGGTTGGCACGCGCGCTGCGCGGCCTGCATCCGTACATCGAAGATCGCTCGCCTGTGCCCAAAGCGTGCGGCGCACGACACTCACGTTCTCACAGTTCGGCAGAGCTGGCCACAACATCGCGTCGCTAATCGCTGCTCCTGTTTCGGCGGCTGCCGCGGCTCGCTCTTGCTCGGATAAAAATGGGACTCCCTTATCGCGAGCCCTAGTCCCTGCCATACGTGCTCGAGCGGCGCACGATGCCGCGGGGTGTCACCTTCGTCGTCGCGCTGCCGGCCGTCCCCTTCATATTTACACGCGCTAACGCAGCCGGTACACGACCGATACCGGGCACTTGAACACGTATCTCCACTGTCGCGCGTGACTGCGAGGTAACGACAGGATCGCTACTACGAGCGACTAGGAAAGATACATTTTCCGATGGCACAGCACCCGCGACTTCGCCCTCACTTCACCGCCATGTTGCAAAATCGCGATCCGCTCGTCCCATCATGCCACGCAGCTCCGTCATATGACAGCGCCGCCGGAACGGCCAATGGGAGCGTGCGGTGCACGCGCGCCGTCGCGAATTAGCGATTGAACTGCCGCCAGTGAAAGAGCAGCGCGAAATTTGAATTTTACATCGCACCTTGGCTTCATTGCGATCGGGCCGATGATACATTTTACGCTGAAAATATTTTCAAACATTCTTTCATTGGTCAGTTTGTAAAATTCTTTCTTCTCATTGGTCAGGAGCATTTGTAGCGTTAAGTCAATCGTGTCCCTAGAGTTAGTTATGGCACGCAAAAATATTTATAACGTAAACAGTAAGCGAACTGGCCAATCAGTAGAGACGATAACATAAGCAGTAACAATTCCAACATGTTAATTTCTTTAGTCTGCTTAAATTTTTTTGTATTTAAAGCCTTGCGTTAATGATATTAGAAATCGATCGGAAAAAGATTTCGGATGAAGAAAGAATTGTGATTAATCACAATCATGTGATCAAATGGGATTTTTAATTTCTTTTTCTATCCGAGATTTCGGAAAATTATTATTAGAAATCTTATTTTATTAAATACTTACATTTAACGTATAAAAAAATATATCCCCTTCTCTTCTATCCTCAGATAATTTTTTAACGTACAATTTTCTTGTAATTCAAATAGTAATCCTAATCACATGCTGATGTAAAATCGCATCTATCTCATATCCATGCGAATTGATTTACAATATTCGCCGTATGCGAATTGATTTACATCTCGAACTTTTAGATTTTTCGAAAACTGACTGATGAGTTAAAAATCTTTTTTGTTATAATCTCTTCTCATAACAATCGCCATGGAATTTATTATCATTAATAACTGTTTTCTCTTTTATTAAAACTGATTTTTTGAAACATAAAGTTTGATCAAGATAATGTTCCTTTCGTCGATTGTCATTATTAAAGACGAATCATCGACTTATTTAACAAGAGAATTTAATATTGAGATTAATTAGAAAAAATATGTACTTTGTGTTTAATCCTATCTTCAGAATAAATATGATCATTTATTTTTTGCATTCATTGGAAATGATTGTGCTTCAAAGATCAATCAAATTTATTACTTTCAATAAGAACATGTATTGACTGAGAGGATAAATATATGATATCGAAACGGTAAAAATAACACTCGCCATTCTTTCGCTATTATTAGTTGTCCCTTTTTCTGCGATTTCATGTCGATAGTATAAACCGTAGAACTTATTGATTAGTCTTGCGAAAGAATTGCGTTTCGTGGAAATACGACTATCTCGATACTACGTCTTGATTTTTATTTGATTTATTTTTATATGTATCTTCATTTTTATTCAATACTACAGATAACACAAAGTTCGAAATCGGAAGACGTCTAAAAGTTTTGCGAGAATTGTCTAAAAGACATCTTGTGTCCCGATTTTAGATTGAAAAATGCAAAAAAAGCAGGATGAAATCTACCTCAGGTAAAGAAAATCGCGTCATCGCGATAATGTTAATCAAAAAATTATTTCAAATTAACAATTAGACAATAATTTTTTGACGTTAATATTACGATCGCGACGGCGCGATTTCGAAAATCGCGGTGTTAACACGAAACTGCCTGAGGCAGATTTCATCTGCCTGCTTTTTTTTTGCACGATGTGTAAGTATAAGAAAGAAAAAAAGAGTAGATGGCTGTAGTACGAACTCGCTTTCTACGAACGTGCCGACAACCGAACCGGTCGTTCCACCGCGCGATGCTAATTTTTACGCTGACACACAATATCTGCTGAATAGAAGAAACCGAACGTGCGTGAGAAGCGTCGTGACAAACGTACGCCTCTTATGAAACACTGAAACATTTCCCAACGAAACAAAATTAAACGGGAGTGTGATTTTAAAATATGCTTTATCGCCCGATGCGATAAACTTGCGCCTGTAATCATTTAAATTTAGCATAATATATACATATAATTAATATATTATATTAATTATATAATTACACAAATTGTATATTTTTTTTATAATTAATATAATATATAAATGCATATTTATATATAAAATTATAATATATTAATAATATATTAATCATTAATTAAGTGGAAAATTTGTATAATATAATCAAATAATATATAAGAAATTTTCATAATATATGAAATTGTACATAGGACAATTGTTTATATAAGGATTAATATAGAGGGAAAATAAAAAAGAGATAGTTCAATGTTTTACGGTATTTAATCAACAGATTGGAACATCGTATTGAACGCTAAAATTTACGTCTTGTGAGTTATAATTTCATATGTATACGCCCGCATTTTCCCACCGTCTCACGCATTAGGTGGAAATTTGATATAATACTAAAAAATAATTGGAAATACTTTAAAAATACTCTTTGCAAATGAAAAACTTTTAGAAATAACATTCACACATACACACACACACACTCTCTCTCTCTCTCTCTCATTCTCTCGGATCATTTTCATATCTACCATATAGATCTATTAGCTACAATATTTTGAATTACTTTTTCTTATATGTTTTATACAGAGATTTAAAATCACAAGAAATTATTAATCGTAATGTGTAATAATAGTGTTATTGTTGTGTCATCATTATTAGTAATCTTACAACTATCGAGACACGCAGTAATGGTACAAAGTTATTTTGTTTTCACATTCGCGACTGCAGACGATTATAATATTTCGTAGAACGTAATCGCGTAATATCGATCATTTCCAAAGCTACTTATCGTAATTTGAGATTATTCCACGGTAGTTACGCGATATTTTACGGCAGAAATATTTTGTCTTCACGCGGACAAAACAGTTGCCTATATCTTTTTTTTTTTACCTATTGCAGAATTGCATTGATTTGCATAATCACAATTTTAACTTAACGTTTTTATATTGACGCTCACGTTAATATCTAAAAGAAAGAATAGATCACTCAAAACGATACTCTAATCTTACAGATACAGTGCAGTACAGTTTCACTATCATATTGACGTTTTAAAAATTCGCAAAGCGTATCTCATGATAGTATAGAATACTAAGTCTACATTTTTTCAAATAGACTACGCTGTATCTGAAGAGGAGTCTCTCGAAGGGCGTTAAACATAGTAGTGTGTAAATACATACTATCGTCTGCTCTTATAAATAATTACAAACTAAAGTCTGCTTTGCATTGATAAATGACTATAATGATCATTATTTTTTCATACTTTATCTTTCTCTCACTCTCTCTTTCTTTCTTACTCTCTGTCACTTTCATCACTCATACACAGTTCATAGAATGCTATTAGAAATAATTCATTACAGATTATTTTTTCACAATTTGCTAATATCGAATTTCTCTCACTGACAGGAAACAAGAAGGAAGGTCAATGCTTTGGATATTTAGCTAGCTCAAGACACACAATTTAAATAAGAATACGTTATTTTTATTTACGAATGGTCTTCCTTTGTGTTTCCTTGGACATAAAATGCCATTGACTTTTTACTCTACAATTTATCTTTTAGGTGCAAAGCACAGACAATTAACTCGTTTCATTTTTATTATTTGACTTACTCGAAGAATGACGTATGCGCGTAGTATATTAAAACAGATTTGACATTTGGTGAACTCATGACTTTTACTCACTTGACCCTACTCTCTGCTGCGGGTTATCTCATTTCTTATGTACATATAAACAGATATTATGGTAATAAAAGTTTCCTTCTTTATATGGGATATTTCAATAAAAAAAAGAGGTAAGATATAATTCGCAGGGAATCATTTTCGACTAACAATTCTGTAATGATTACATATTTAATTCTACTTTTTTACTATATGTGTGATAAAAATAGATCCACAATATATATCTAAATGTAATGTATTGTGTTGCCTTTATCACTACAATCTACTGTTTAGTTAAAGTGACAATGTAATAATATTTCTAAGTCCATTGTAAACTGTATGTAAACATCGTAATTAATGTAAGTATATCGACACGATTTAAATTTTATTCCATCGAAAATCCGTTAGAAGCAGCTATATTGTAGTAGTTGTTTCGTAAACGATACCGCATATGTGAAATGAATAACGAATGTAGTAAAAATATGCTGGGTCACTGATTCCGATAAAAGTTCTCGACCCAATGCGTGTATGTATAACCTGCGAATGTTATCTAGATCAGAGTAAACATACGACCAAAAAGAAGCGTATCTATCCAAGAGGAACACAGAAGCATTGAGAAAGATCATGAAATAACAAGGAAAAAATTGGTCCGATCATCAGTTAGAAATAAAAATTTACTCCAAGTGCTTTTAGATCTTGTATAATATAGTTTATATCTTTGTTCGCACATGTCGGCAGCACTGTTTCTTGTTAGATCCATGCTGCTAATAGCACTTTTCGGCCGCTCGATTAAAGGGATTATTTGTGAATACCACCATGAATATGTAAATACAATAATGTAATCCCATGATTCCCTCGTTGGATTTATCTCTATGCTACCTTCGTATCTCCCGTGCCTTCTCAACAATATCATCTTTAATCACAGTACCATCATTTCTCAATTTCAATGTTTTCAAACTATTCACCCTGTTTGTTGAAACAATTAATCATTTAAAAAAATCATTTAACTATTCTTGAAAAATGTATTTCTTTTGTCTAAGAACCAATAAAAATCTTTCTTAATAGTTTTAATTAATTTTTATTGAAGGAGATCAAAACTGGTGATCAAAATACGTAATTTTGCATAAACTAATATTACATAATAATTTCAAATAATTTTATAATAACTCCAAAATAAAAGGAATATCGACAATAATGTTAGTGTTAACCATTCTATTGGTAACAATAAAATCATTTCTGTAAAAAAAAAAAGAGGATTACAGTAATCTTACGATATAAATATCATAATACAAATCATAATATAAATATCATTTTTGAAAATTAAATAGGTAAATTAAGAATAAAAACAAGGAAGTAGCATCAAATAATAATAAAATATGCAATTGTACGTAATTAAAATCATTGCGCAAAATAAAATTTTTTAAAATCGGATGAACGTCGTTGAGGAATACGAACGAACGTCGAAAAACTCGGTCGGTCGCTCAACGGATAAATAGAAAAGTGCTTCACTTCTGTATTTCAGTACACCCTTCCTGCGCGGCAAGTGACAATCCTAAAGAACCTTTCAAATGCGCCGAGTCTGACTCGACGTTCTCAAATATTACTGTCGACCGATGCCTCGCTGTCTAAAATCCTTTTGTCTTTTATCTCCTCCGTCAGCGGCTTGCTGAATACAGGTTCGATTGTCTCCGACAGCAATTTCGGATTGTGCTTGTCGATGTGCGTCAGTTCGATAGGGAGGTATATCGTCCGGCAATAATCGATGTCAGCCCGGCATAACGGGCAACGTTCGCAGCGACGGGCGCAGTCCAGACAGGCCACAGCGTGTCCGCAGGGAAATAGGGCTGTGTCTAAACTTCGATCCATGCAGATCCGGCAAAGCATAGCGTCCAATAATCTCGCTAAACATTCTCGAGATTCCTGAAATCGTACGAATCGTTTGTATCGAGTGCGCATGGTGAATCTTCCGATTAGCATGGTTCATTGGTACGAATTCGTCGCTTACCTTGCACTTAGGATTCTCGCACTCCCCGCAGGCATGCCTATCGAGGGTCTCGTTCTCCTCCGGCAGAGTTATGGTCGCCGCTTCGCAATAAAGCGCACGCCGCGCATTATCATATACTTCTCGGCAGGTCCTACGTATATCGAACACATATTTCTTGCCCAGGGTCGAGTCCTCATTGAAAATGGAAATTATTGTCCCCTGAAAGAAAGCAACAGCGATCGATTATAGCATTCGAATTTAAATAAAAGGACTTAGGAAAACGAGTTGTATCAAAAGAAAAAAAAATAGCGCGTAAAAGAACCAAAAATAAATCAAATAGAAGAAGATACCTTTAAATCACGGATAAATTGTGCGGTAACCGCGCTCCTAACTGTCTCGCAGCTGTAAAACGCATGTTTCTCGGTGATCGCTCTGTAAAGTCCGCTGGCGGACTGGCTGGAGTCTAATTTAAAGTCCAGTGATGTCTCCTCGCCGTCAAGTGAGAGGTAAACCAAGTGGAACATCCGCCGTTGTGATGTAGCGCTTTGTATGGCTGTATACGGTATACTGTAACGCAATACATAATACATCGTATAATAAATTAAACCATGATGGAGGTAAAGATAAAGTAAAATCTTGATGCTAATCTTCCTTTTGCATAATGGATGGAGCAAAGCTCAGAAGGACTCTATTGATCTTATCGCACATGAGCATTTTCCATATATTAATATTATTTTCTTAAGAATTTCATTAGAGGACACAGCTTTGTCATTTTATATTAAGCACAAATTGATAATGAAGTTCTCTCAGTAACAGCTGTTCCGTTGAACGATCATCTCGGCGGATGGTATAACGTGGAGCACAGCCGGTACGTGCCGTCTCCTATCGTCGAAAAGCAACATTAAAGTCGATCTGAGATTTCACGTTGATAAATATGTAATTTAACGAAACACAATATTACTTGGATGAATTGATTAATCAATGTATAAAAGCGCTCGTTTAAGCTTTCTATTTAATCTGTGTCCAAATTTATTATGATGAAAACGCTTAGTATAGTTTTTAATACTACAAAGTTTTAGATTTCATCAACTTAGCTATTTTTCTTAAATTTTCAAAGAATTTGTCGAGGAATTATTTCGACTGCGTAAATCAATTTTTGTTTATATTTCAAATATATATGTATATAGTTGAAATATAAATGATATATTAATATAAATGATATATTAATGCATAATCACTTTTGCGTCTCTTCGTCCTGATTGCGGTAGACCGTAATTCCGTGCGGACCAACGCCGATCATAGACACCCCGTTGTATCCAAATTTACTGTGAAACATTTCCTGTCCGAATGCGTCGAGGTTTGATATCTCTTTCAAGAGCCAATATTCAGCGGTCGACGTTTTCATTCCCTGAAAATTCACATATCTCTATTATTCATGTAGATCGCACGACACATATTCATATTCAGCAATATTCAGTTATCAAATTGTAAATTGTAAAAAAAAGATTGTTGTCAAAATTTTCCTCCCCTTTTTCCCATCTCCAAAAAATAATAAAATCGTATCTCTCTGCAAATGCAACTATTCAACAAATATTGTGTATTTCTATTGAACGCTGTCACATATTCTATTTTAAATAACAAATTCAAAAACATAAAATTAAAAAAAAATAGAACAATAGATAGAAAAGATTTATTAAACATCGGGAACGAGAGAACACAAAGTTGGATCGATGTGGTAGTAAAATTTATTAAATAAAAGGAAAATAAAATAAAAACACATGAGAGGTTAAGAAGTATGAATAGGTCAGAGGAAGTTGCTAAATTGGCTGTCATTTTGTATAATAAATGGATAAAATAAAATAAATCAAATATTACAGAAAAAATTTATTATTTTTATTAGCACACAGTGCAAAAAAATGAACATATATTTATGAATTTGAAAAAATAAACGTAAAAGAATTCGACTTGCATAATGAAGGTCTCGACTTGAAAATTAATATTACAAAATTTTAGTAATTCTTCAAAACATTCAAACTTATTTTCTAAAAAAAACTTTGTTTTTTTAAATTACGCCATTGTTGTAGCGTTTTTTCTACACTAATCTTTTCCGCAATATAATATTTAATTTATTTTTTCCGTTCGATTATTACATAAAAGAAAAATTATTTAATTTCAATGACTTTCAGATCGTCCCCGGATGTGCGATAGCGTGCGTATGATAATCAAATTATAATTAACACTTCTTCCAACGCACTTTGATTTCCTTGTGCTGCTGGACTATCCGCAGCAGGAAGTCTTGCGGTTTCGGCTCGCATGGTTCCGCGGGTTGTATGTGACAGCATTGAGAGTAGAGCGCGTGCGGCGGTGACAGCGCATCGTAATCACCACCATCGGCTTGCGCTATCAGGGCGACCAAACGAGCAACAGAGCCCCAATCGGCGACCTTCAGCCTACTCTCGATCAGCTCGAGACGAGAATGCAAGTAGAACTGATGCCTGCAATCACAAGATAGAAAGGGGACGACGATGAGATGACGCTCAGATGTGTTTTGCGGGTAGAGTTATTAATTGCAATTAGTTCAATTTCGTGCCGGGTATGCAGCGGACCAGCTAATATACACGGTACTCCCCGGCTAAAGTAAGATTGATTACTCTTCCCTTCTCGGAGAGCATTGTTTTAAGTCTCTCCTCCTTCCCCTTCATCCCAGCCGAACAATGTAGTAATACAATAATGCAGAAATGATTAACGATCGAAACACGTTTGCAATGGCGAAAAATACGTTCGCAATTTAATCGCACGCGCCGTTTAGGTATTATCTCGCCAGGCGAGAGAGTGTTTTCTCGTCTGTGCGTAACGTGAATCCTACGAAATCGCGCTTTGAGATGGTATTCGATCGTACGCCGAGTTGGCGTGTAGTGTTATTTCCATTTTCAACATTTTATACTTTTTTTCCCTTGACAAACCACCTACCGCAAGAAAAAGCTTCGACAGAGGATATTTTTACTTTGGTTCGCCGGCTGAATTTCTGGTTGACAACTTAAATGATTCATATCCTGCATTTCCATGGTAGTATGACTCTACATTCGCATGAATATTTGAAGAATAGCGGAGTGCGCGACCGAAAGAAGGGGTAGCTCTCCAAAATACCTCCGGGCTCCTTTTACATACTCCTGAATATCCTTCAGCTGTACAATGCGAATACATCTCACGATAAACATGTTGCCGTCGGAGAAGTGGAATTACGCGTCGAGAGGAAGTGAATAGCCCGTTCGCGAAGTACCAGAATACGCTAAAGAATCTGCATTAAAATATACCGTGCTACCATTTTTCACGATTCTGCATGTCGCTGCATTTCCTTTTTTCCTTCCTCTTTTTTTTTTTTTTAAATTCTCTCTGGCAAACTCACATCGTGGAAATAATGGATAATCGAGAAGCATCAAAAGATTCAATTGTACGATGGCTATTTGGTACAATAGGAAAACAATTTATTGCCCATACTTCCATTCGCGCGAGCATTGACCTTGATTCAGCTCGCTCGTGATATAACACTTAAAGAGTGCATCCAATTCAAATTTATCATTACTTCAACGCTATTATCTCAATTGATAAAGAAAAAGAAATTATCTGTGATAATTTCCGAGCTACATGGTTGGTTCGCTATATTCTTAAGAGGATTCTAAAGTCGTCTTTTATCAATTTACACGTCATTGACACATCACTATACACACTACTATATCATACATACAAATTTTTTAACTAATCTTTCATATTAGTTATGTAAAATCTTTCATATTAGTTATCTAAAATATATTATAATTCTAAGAACTCAACATTGTTTGTTTCAATTCCTAGTCCAAACAAAATTGTTTTATCCGTATAAAGTATAAAACTTGTATACAAAACAAATATTGTTACGAGTTGACGCCAGAAATCGATAACAAAACTCCAATTTTTTTCGTTTTTGACATAAAGTCGATCGGTTTGCACTACATTACTGTTTATACTTTAATTGTGAAAAAGGATTTTTAAATATGTAAAAGCAGAAAAATACTTATTTATTTGAAAAACAAATGATTCTAGAATCTCCTTAACAAGGAAAATATCAATTTTGATTGAGAATAAATCAGATAGCTGCGACAAGAACTAAAACCGACGAATCGACAAAGATTCGTATTAGCAAGAATTTGAAGAAAATATCAATTGTCGAAGATATCCGAATTTTTAGCCAAACGTAGTTGGTATCGAGAAACTTTCTCGTGTTCAACCTGTTTACAGCCGGAAAACTTCGGATGACCTCGATATTTTTTCTGTCAGAAAATTATCAAGAGGACATTCTTGGAAAAACGTAAAAGAGGAATCGTGTCAGACGGTTGCGTAAAAAATTAGGTCGCGATCGAAATCTGCGCCCGAGCAGTTGCAGTTCCAACCAACCAGTCGCATCACCGTCGCATCTTGAAATGCATTTCTTCGTGAATCGCCGTGTAAATTAAGCGATTTTTCCCGCCATAAAATTTCACGGTACTTTACTCTCGAACACCTCTTCCCTCCAAAAGGAAAGACCTTATTTACGGCAGATCATTTTCCTGGGTCGCGAATGTGCGAATCAGTGCGAACAATCTTGTTCTTGTTGGACAGAATTTCTGTCTTCGTCAGTCTCGAACTTCAGCGAAATCCGCAGGTTGGTAGGAAGTGTTGGAGAACCCAGTGACATTTGTCACCGTACGAGAGATATTGGTTTTGTCCAAAGTTTCCAGAGGGAAGATCGAAGAGAATGCCGGAACTCGATGAACTCATCGTTAACAATCGCGCGCGATGAAAATCGTCGCCGTAAAATCGAACTCTTCCGGCCGATGATTCGCGCGAAGAACAAAGAGGGATGCGATTTGAACCGCTTTCGCAAATTAAGACTCGCAGACCGAACTCTTAATCGAACGACGCCGGCCTCGGCCTGAGAGTTTCCAGCGATATTCCAACGACCGAAATTACTTTCTAAAATTACGAAATCGTTTCGCTCTTCTTCGTCCGCGAACATTCGAGAACATTACCTGAAATTACACAATCTCACGGAGTAGTGACCGTAGCATCTCGATTTTCAGGATAATAAAATTATCAGAATAGCAGTCTAATCGAGTTCACTTAATCTCGATTTGCCTCGTGGAGAAGCTTCGGATAATTAAGCAGAGTTTGCACTTTGCATCTGCAATGATATCATCTCTCTCGTTAATCTGAAATGACACTGAATTTAATATTACTAACGCATTTCATATCGTTTATCGTTCTCGTTAATTCTCGAGCAGAGATTAATTTCGTTAACTGATCCTTCCTTTCGCTGAAGATTTTTCTGTTCTGCTAAAATCGAGACGAATAATAAAGAAGCACATCGAATTATGAACAACACTTCTAACATCGCGAACTTATATACGCGGCAAGAAGATCTGACTAAACGAGGCTAGGCTGAGTGCTTTTAGAAAGCTTTCGAGCCGCCTTAAATGCTGCGAAATCCCTCGGTAGAATAAAGCTTTTATTAAGCGCTATTACAGACAAGACTATTTTGGGAAAATTCAGCGCGATACTTTTAGTACCCAACGAAATATTTATTAGACCGCATGCCGAACGGATATCATATATCATGCCGTACTGTTTGACAAATATAACCGCGTTGCATGAAGGGATATTTGAATTAACGTGAGTCGAGTAACTCCGGTAATATTAACGACATCGTCATAGAACGTCTGGCTAGCGACGTATTCATTCATGACGTGTATACAGCACTTTCCTATACATTATTCAGAAATGGAAACAAGGTCGGCCCTTTCGTGCAGTTTCAAATAGGGCGTTCCACTCGATTGTGTAAGAGGTACTTATAAATCAGTCATACTGGACTAACACGCGAAGTGTTGGTAATTTCGTGCATCATGGATCCGTGAACACACCTGCGAAATTCAAGGACGGAGTCACAGTGAATGTTTTATTCGAAAATTGAACACTTACAATTAATTTTTGTTTTTCTGATACTGGTAAGAATTATAAGTCATAAAAATCTTAGGGAACTTACATTCGGAATAAATCATATTAGAACATGATGTCACAATATTTCAACCAATCAGGAGGAGATGGTAGTTCTCAAAACAAATAAATACACTGTGTGATTGATCAGTCATAACGGAACCTAAGTTCTTAAATCATAAAAAAAACGGAATTTGATCATCTCTAGCAGTCACTGATTACTGACTTATTATTATCATATGATGTATTACTGACTCGCTTACAATTCGCTCCTGACTTCTGACCTATTACTAATTACTCACTGATCAGCTTATTGCAAAAAGAATCTTTTATTTAAAAAAGAAGAAAATAAAAGATTTAGATCGATTCATTTTTTATGCATTATGCGTTATACTTTATGCATGACTGTATACTTCCGCCTGAGAAACATAGCAAATAAACGAGAGCAACATGTAAAAAATAGAGCTGTAAAATATCAATTTCTACGATGTGATTAAATACAATATTCGAATATATTTTTTTAAATAAAAATTATGCGAGTAAAAGTGACGCGTATCGTCGATACCAGCAAAGAGCTGCTCAAAGAGCGTGAAAATTCGAGCTGACGGTTTGCAGTCGGGCGAACAGGATTGTAGTAAAGCTCCACGACCTCCGCGGTTCTGTATCCGCAATATTTCCTAGTAAATAATTCAAAGGTTATTTCCAGCCGGTCCCGAGTAATTTTGAAGTAGTCACCGTGGCTCGGACTTCGTTTGTCGGTTTTGGTCCTGGATGACACGAAAGGTGGGTACAGCCGAGGGGGCAGTTACGAATAAACTGGCAGAATTTCTTAGAGGAAACGAGCGCGTCGCAATTCGTCGAAACTCGTTGCGGGCGAGTCAGCAGCATGCGGATTAGCATTAGCGTGTAGTTGCTACGCTGCATGCGGACTGTCACTGGGTGACATTAGCTAGCCACATTGTAAATGAGTCAACACCAGATCCGACAAGCCGTGAATTTCAAAAGGCTTGTTCGCGGCCGTTCAGATTTGCGCGTGGAGAGTTTCCACGTGGCAAAGAGGATCGGGTTTGGTAGTGGCTGTAAAGACCGGCTACAAAGTGACCGCGAGGCGATCCCTTGGAACGCTTTAAATTAGGTTTCATAATTCTGGCACGAGAAAACGGGAACGTCGCAGGATTCACGTGCGCGGTATTAACCACTGCATTAATAATATATACGCAAATTACGAAGTTTCCTGTTGGCCGAGAAGAACGGAATAGTTAAGTGAAAATTAAACATTGAATTTACTAAATTCACTCTAATCATTAAATTATTTTTTGTGGGATAATTAAAAATTCAATTGACTGCTTAAATTAACTGATCGTTAAATTATTTTTCATTCGTTGCGCATACAATTGAAATAATTGCACGAGAGATTTTGGAAAGATTAAAGATTAATAATATTAAAAAATATCTCGTATTAACATAAACTTTTAATATTATACAGGAT